TCATCGTTTTCACCTTCACAATCGTCATCATCTTTATCGCAATCTTCGTCTTCATCACAATCGCCTTCTTCTTCACAAACTTCAAGGTTAACCAAAGCTAACCCTACAAAAAAAGAACTAATATTAGAGAATAAGTTACTAAATGAAAGGGTTGAACAGTTGGAAGAAGAGGTTGAAACTCTTAAAAACCCTGGTACAAGTCCTTTGCGACTCATACTTAAATATCCTGTGCGCCATCATTTGCAAGCCGAAAACCCCAAGGTTGATAAGGAGCAATCTAACTCCCAACCCCCACCAAGAAAAAAGAGAAAAACTATGCCTTTCTCCCAGCTTCTAACAAACGAAAGTTCACTACAACAATTGAGAGAAGCTGAGGAGGAGGCAGAAAAGGTGGCCAATGAGAAAAAACATAAAAAAGAAATTGCTCTCGAAAAACGTATGGCACGTGAAGCTGAAAAAATGCAACAGCAGGAAGCACGAAGGCAAAAAAAGGAAGATGTGGAACGTATTAGGGCCGAAAAGCAACGTACAAAAAAGAGTAAACCAACATAAAATATAAAAATTACCTCCTTTTATTGAGTGCGTCAAATTAGGGCGATCTTCTAATAATCGCAGTTTTTGGAAGAATTTTTGTACTAGAATAAGAATTTTTTTTTTTGATTAAAAAAATTCTTTTTTTTTGATATGAGAGCTTATTTTAGATTAAATTGTATCATATTTAGTATAAACTTGCTTGTTTTTATATTAATTCCATAAAACTTGCTATTGGGCAAGATTAACTGCGTCAAATTAGGAATACTTACATTATATTGAATTTTTTTTTATTAGTGCATTTGCTGCAGCACATAAAGTACTATGTAGATTTATTTATTCTCAAACCGGTATTCAATGTAATGGCAAGCCTAAACTTAGATCTCATTATTAGGTTTTTATATTATTTAAGCTATTGTTAATTAAAATATACATACGTACAAAAAAATTATGAAAAATGAATTATGATATAGGGCGTTATTGATTAATTGTCTAGTTTATTACAATACCATGTTATAATTAATCTTGTGTAATAATTTTTTTAATCTATATACCATATTATGTTTTGATTGACGATATCTAATAAAAATTTATTAATTTAAATTATTATCGTTATCATTTATAGCAAGAAGGTGATACTTCTACACCTACTTATTTTATCGG